GTTATGAACGCGAAGGCAACCTGCGCCCCTTCTTTGCTAAAAATAACCACCTGTTACTTGATAACAAGATTTTGCTTTACAAGTCGATGATCAGGCCAATTCTCACTTACGCTAGTCCCATCTGGGACTCAGCCGCTCTGACTAACCGTAAACACGTTCAAATTTTCCAATCAAAAATTTTACGGCAGATTCTTAATGCTCCATGATTCATATAGGGAACGATGACATTCATGATCTCAAAATTATGCCCATCAATCGCTTTATACAGCCACTTTCGGAAAGATTCTTCAAAAACATCCATCTTGTTGGAAATGCAGTATTACATACCCTGCCGGTATACGATCCTGCGGTCGCTTCTTCAAAAAAGCGACCTAGAGCTATATTAAATTCTGATTATGCTCAATCACCATTTAAAAGGCGTCGGTATGAAAGTACCGACGCCCAAGTGGATGTTTACCTCACGTTCCTGAGTCCCAACCACCTCCGCGTTAACAATGTATAAGGGCATTGACCGGAGGAACCCCGTACTAGAACTCTTTAAAAAGAGTCTTTTAGCGTCTCTTTAACAAGAGAGAATTTTATCTCTACAGCCGCACGCAACTGCACTTAACTTTTAATTTATTTCTAAATGCTTTTTTTCACCAGCTACTGCCAGCTCGACTCTGGCGATTCCGAAAGTTAAACAGAAAAAACGTGCAAAGAGAGGTCCTATTCTTTGTAATGATCTGTTGTATATATTTGATTTTGTTATTGTAAATAGTTACTTTTGTATCCATATATTTATTTAATAACTTTTATACACATGATATTATGCCATTTACTGATATTTGTTTTGTGATGAGTCAAAAATTTTTATTTTGTCCCCAAAATGTTAAATATTTCATAAGGGCTACTTGCTCAATTTTTTCGTTTAAATTCCCAAGTACAAATGCAAAGGTTGTGTGTAAGTGGGTGAATTTTAGTGACTAGCCTAATACACAAAATGTACTTCAATTACTTGTGTGGGTGACAACCCCCGTGACTGGCTTCGACGAATCTCCTTCTCCATGTCACCTTGAAGCAATTCCCTGCTCGGACGGTAGAAGCTACATTTTAAGAACTTTATTTATGTACTTACCTTCACATCACATACTTTGAGTTCGAGCTTCGTCACGGACGGGGCGGCTTTTTTCGCCTTATCCACCACATTACCATCGCCTTAGGGCACTATTTACAACAGACGCAGTCAAAGCAGTTTATCTGCTAATGCTGCGAATGCCAGGAGCCGATTTGATTTGATTAGCCTAGCGCACTCCGTAAATTAACCTCCCTAATCGTCGATCCTTGTAAGGCTCCTATATACCAGGCTGAATCATCAGGCCTTCGCGCTCCCAAGTGGGAGATTTAATGGCAGCTGTGTAGTTACGGTGCAACAATTTTTTTGTGTTTTTTTTTTGGTGTAAAATGGGCGGATGTACAGCTATTACTTGTTCAAATCATTCACGGAAAGGTCATACATTGGTAAAATTTCCTAAAAATGAAGAAAGAAGAAAAATATGGGTAAATAATTGCCGAAGAGACAATTGGAAACCTGGTCCAGGCGCTGAACTTTGCTTAGTAGGTATAATGTTAATTACGCCTTCATTTAGAGTTTATATCTTCTCTGATGTTTATAATGTGCAAGTAAAGTGAAATTCTTGTGTACAATAACCTGAGTATCTGCTAATTTCTGTAATAATAGCTATAATTAAATTAGTCTAGGGTTAATGTACCCGTCGCCAAACATCGCCAATGTAGATGTTTTGAATGTGGAAAAGAAATTTCTCTTCTAATATAAAGCGCGGATTTTGTTTTCCTGTGCTAATTGTGGAATTTATACTAATGTAACATGAAAATCATTAGCATATTGAAATTTATTAAAAAAAATAATAATTTGGAATAATTTGGTCAAAGATAAAAATCAAGTGAGTTAAAATCTGAATGTTTGCTAAAGATATATGTAACATTATATAGTTGCAATATCGTTGGAATGATATATAATTTTTTTCTTATTTATAATCACTATTGTTAAAAAGTTAGATGAGTTGTTTATGCACGGTGCCCACTACTGTTTCTTTGTTAAAATAACTTCCAGAATTTTGACATTGAGATCTGAAGTCAATAGAATAAATTGAATAGTGTGAGACAAAATATATATAATCTGACTTCAATAATTGCAAGGATTGTGCAAGTTTATTTATAATCACAGTATTATACAATTTGGCAATGGAGTAAAGATTTAGAAATGAATGCAGAACATTCAAATTAGTATTTTCTTGTTTCTAATATATAGAAATATAGTCTATTTTCCAGTATAAAAGTTTTACTTAAAAGTATGGGAAAGCAGATTTGTGTCATGCATGATCTTTATAATACTGGTATGAAATGAATGAATTTTAATCTGTAAACAATTTTTTGTTAATATTGAAATGCGTTTCTTTGGGTACATTTTTAGGCACTTGTGGATCATGTCAGACGACATGCAATAGAAAAAAGATGTCCGTGTGCATAAATTTTCCCATTGTGATACTTCATTTTATCTAAATTTCAAGGATAATTCTTTTCATTTTTATATGGCATGTTATCAGTATAAAGGCTAGTGAAAATAAATTGGTATGTGTATCTGTTTTTGAAGTGTAATGCTTAAATAAAAAGATGGTGTGTGTTTCTTCATTTAAACAAAATTTCAAGGATAGTATTTTTCAGTGTTGTGCTGTTTGTTATTTCTCAATGTAAAGGGTAACAAGGGGAAAAAAAACTGGTATGGTATATCTGTTTTTTAAGCATGATAATTTTATTTATTTCTTTAGTGATGCATATATATAGAGAGAAGGTGTTTGGTCCAACTGAAGTTATAATAAATCTAATTTTACTAGATCTCTCCCTCCCCTCAGGTGTAGAAAATTTTCAAGTGCAGAAAGTTTATTTGCAGAATTATTTCATTTCTGATAAACTTATTATCATAAATTTTTTATATAACATGTTACACATTTGACTACTGTGTAATAAAATTGTATTTAGGGCAAAAAATTAACTATAATTTTGCATCTGGTGACTAATATCATATGCTTCTAAGAATATTACTTTAACTTTTTCCATAATTTTTGTATTTCAGAAACATGAAACTGTTATTTTGATATACTTAAATAATAAAAGTGTGTATCTGAATCAATTAATGGATACAAATATTTTACAGTTATTTTTAGAAGATATTTGCCATATCGCTTCTAATAATTCATAAAGTATGTTAAAATATAGGTAAATAATTTGGTGCAGAATTCAAATTTAGGGTTTAAAATATAGTCAATCATAAGACTAAATGATTTTTATTGTCATGATTTGCCTGGGCTTAAGAATGTACTTTTCACCCGGTGGAAATTGTCATCAAACTGTCCTGAACAGGCTTTTTGTTGATAATAACTTCCAGGCTTATCAGTACCTCCTTTTGAGTGGAGGGTATGCAAATATAGTACACAATTTAAATTACATTGTGATTGTAATAATATTGTGGTATTAAATAAGTGATTATAATTACAATTTAGGTAATTGCATTGTAATTATATTACATTGTATCTGTGAACTCTTAATTTCATTACTTTATGCAATTATGTTGTAAGTGCATAATCTAATTGCAATAATATAATCTATTCGCAATTACAAAATAATTATAAATGCAGTTACATCTTAAATAGAGGCCATTTTAATACTTTTAAATTTTCGCAAGATAACTTCCCATTAAGGTTCATTTGGAGGAAACTATGCAAATACTAAAAAAGAAATAATATAGTTATGCTAAATTTACATATTTTGTACAGTACTTTCTTGTTATAATGCTGTTCAATATATCTTCAATACTTTTGTAAATTTAACGACTTCTTTGCAATCACTGTGGTGCTTTAAAAAGAAGTTTTTTAGTTATGCTTTCTAATAAGAATGGGTTTTAAAATTAAGTATTATGTATAATAACTAGCAGTTAAAAAAACTTGACTGCATGAAAATGCTGTTGCTGTGTAAAATAAAAAATAAGCTTTCTTTTATGCTTTGAAATGAATTACATGTGGTTAAGTCGTCCTTTTACAATTTAAGAATGTGGTTAACACACATTCTTAAATTGTAAAGGACAGGTTTTATCTAAATTATTAGTATAAAATATATAAAACTATGAATTATTTTGTAACATAACTCAAATTACAAAATTCATTCTTATACGTGTTCAAATTTATTATCTTTAATGTAATAAAGTTTTTTAATTTAGGTAAAAATTGGATTTTTAGAAGTATTACAAATACAATGCAACACAAAGGTGATCTGATTGAAGAGGAAGGACTTTTTATTACGGTTTCTAGTTCGTATTTATATTACATTTGATGAAAAAGCATCCAAAACACAGAATGCTGTACTTTCTTCCTCCATATATGTTATGAAATATTTCACACATTTAAAAAAAAGTGTTTCTTCAGAATCTTGCACAATTATTTCCATATACCTCAGACTTAAATGACAACATATTCTTAAGTTATTTTTTTAGTATGAATTTACAGTGTTTTTATGGAAATTTTGTTAAAATGTCATTAAGATAAAGTTATTTGCACACTCTACGCTTTAACTATTTCCCCATTTGACACTATTGAAAGTTTTTATTCATATCTTATTTATTATAGTCTGCTAACGAAACTGAAACATCTAAAGAATAAGTTATTTTGAATATGTTTACAAAATATACGCGAAATTTTTATTTAAGTGAAAACGTCTATATACTATTCGAGAATTAATAAATTATCCGAAAAGTTTATATGCGCTGAATGCCGCGCGTCTATAAAATAAATCTTTAAAAAAACAGCAGACATTCAGCCAGCGTGTGCGATAAACGCGCCAAAATTGGCAGCACATTCACTCCCTCGCCAAGAGAGAAAAGTTGGTGATTCAGCCTGGTTTAGAGGAGCCTTAGATCCTTGCTTTCTCTTGCACCTAAGCTTGATTTTTCGCTGACGGGAAGAAAGACTTAGGGGATGCAAAACAAGACTTCTATGCTGCTGTGTTTACGTGAGCGTGCAAATATCGAATTTTTTGTAGCACGATCTGATGAGAATGTTAGCAAAAATTGTTGGGAGACATAACTTAAATTTAGCACGTACATGGTATAAATTCATATATATATTTATTTATTCCTTCGATATAATTTAGTTTATTGACTTAATTAACAACTTACAAATTGGCAAGGTCATTGAGTATATATCTGAGGCGGTCAACGTTTGCACATGCCAGACCCAGTTCACTGTGCGTATAGCGCCATGGGTTGCACATTATATTAGCTAAGATTTAGGAATACGTCATGGAATAATAAATGTGATTTATTTCAAGACAATAATTATATTTATTTCAAATTATCTTTGTAAACATATTCTTTTTGAATAACCTATGTGAAATGTGTACGGCGTTTTAGTGACTATGTTAGAAAGTAGGAAGTAAAGTTTGGTGTCACACGCATGTGCCTGCAAACATAGATACCTGCTTGAAAAATTAAGATTAGCTTGTTTTTGGTACTAAAATATTGATAACAGTTGTAATACGAATAGAAATTACTATCTTACTGAAAAAAAAAAAAAAAATATGGAAGTAAAGCGTATAAGCTCACTGTATATCTCTTGGTTTTGAGCTTGATTTCTTATTATACATAATATAATAATCTTATTATACATAATTGCCTCTAGTGTAGAATTGGGTGCCCCTTCGATTAGCGACAAATTTTTTAAAAAATTTTGGCGATGAAACTTCATTTCTGGTTACTATGATAGTTTTAACTTTTAGCTTCCTGATTTTTTTAAAAATGAAAATAGATTTACGTGTACATGGACAAATTTAAGGCAGTGCGCAATGCCTAGTTTATGCAATTCTGGGATTTTTTTTTAATTGAAAACAGATCAATGTGTACATGGATACAGAGTTTGTGCAATTCTTTGACTTCTTATTTTGGTTTTGTGTAGCGGCCATCTTGAAATTATGCCTTCTTGGCGTCAAAAAAGAATCGCCAAAAAAAAACGAGTGGCACCCAATTGTAAACTTTTACCTTATATTTAAGTTAGTAATGCTAAGTGTTTCTTGGTAATTATTGATCTGCTTATGAAAGTATGATGATATATTAAGTTTTAGCATTATAAAGATTAATTTTATAATTCTAGGTTACCTACTGCAGCTATGTATTCAACAGGAGGTGGACTCTTTTTCTTATATCTGACAGACTGGAAATTGGTTCTCCAGTATCTTCCAATTTATAACACAAAATTTAAGGAATCTGAATCATAATGGTATGTGTGAAATGAATCAAATTTTATATTAGACGTAAAATTCACTTGAGTATAGGAATATATATAAATAAGGTGTGGTACATTTATGGATTACTGTAACTCTCTTATTGGTAACTAGAAGGAAATTGATAAATTCACTCGGAAAAGAAGGCAGAACTGTCAGCTTTGCGTTTGTGAACATTAATAAAGCAAAATTATTGAGCATATTAAAAAGGCTAATTATTATCAGCCTCACACATTTCGTCATGACCAAAGATAAACATGTGCATCAATTAAGAATAAGTTTTATTTGGATTTCTTCAGCTAATAAAACTGAATTGTTTGCAGAAGTCGGAGACAAGCAGTAAACTTAATGTCGTCTGAGATAAACAGAATTTATAGTCACCAGTAATCAGTTAAATATGTATGGATATCATGCTCTTTATTGTGACGAGTTCTCGCTAAAGTGTGGTTTTCCAATACTTACTTTTAATCCTATAGCTTAAATAGTTATATGGTATCTTGCAATCAAAATTCTGGAGTATATCAGGGAGGAGATTTTTGTTATGTGCATTAAATGTACCAAAACCATTACCTTCCAAAAGGTTTGATTATCAGTGCTAAAGCAAAAATTGCTTTCAATGTATAAACTGTAGAGTCTGCTAACTTGGTAGGTTAAATATAAGTTCATAGATTGCATATTTGTAGCACATTATCACTTATATTTCTAGAATGCATGTTTATCAGATTCTGCCACTAGACTATTAAACGTCATGTAATGTTATAAAATCTAATTATTGCAAACTGAGGTCATTCCTAAAAGCTAATGAGAGCTCTCCTTTGTTAAACTTAATTACAGTATAGCTATTGAAATAGATTGCCAGTCACCTGTAACACAATATTAGGTGTATTTACAAATGTGAATTACGTAAAAAACATTTTAAAAGACGCTTAGTGCTCACAGAAGGAGTTTTACACAGAATATTGTGTGGGAGATAAGCCATATATACATTAGCATATAAAAAGTTAGATCTGATCAGTCAATTTTATGCTGCATCAGGTTGATAGTTTTGTATAACACCAGCAAAAGGAAGCCATTTTGAATGGCTAGTGAGTTTTATCCATGCTAATGGTTGTATTGTCTGATAAGTATTTTATTGATATAGACTTGGAATCTTATTGGCTTTAGACTTATGTAGGAGTTTAGAAATTTTATAACTGTGTACATCCCATCATACTATGCTTTTTTTTTTTATGTGTGTGCAGTACATTCCAAGATGATTATGTTTCTCAGATTGCATTTTTATTAAGCATCTATTTAAATCTTATGTTCATATAAACCTTTTTATCATATTCCATAGGTGTTCTGCTACTTTTTATCTGACAAATGCAGTGGCTAAAGCATCTGCCAGAATTTAAAATCAATCTTGAGCAATCGGAGCCCGATTATATTACCTGTTATAATCTGGGAAAATCCCTCTGTAGTTGAGGTACATAAAGTTTATTCAAGAGCTCAAGATCTTTTTGATAATATGTCTGAGTTAGAACCAAAACCAGGGTATGCAAAATGCATCATAAAACCATTACAGAGCTCTTACGAATTTACATAATGCCTTGTTGATAATAATGGCTGCAATTTTACAAGGTCTATTTTTAACCCGAACTCCACCATCACCATGTATGGTACCATTTTTGGATATACCATACATGGTGTAACCATTTTTGGATCATCATGTGTGGAACCATTTTTGGTAATAGACTGACTGTAGTAAAAGTAGTTGATATTGAATTGTAAGAAGTAACAGGCTACTTGATTTCAGTCCTGTGGGGCTCAGTATGTTTATGTATCCATGCGATGCAATGTGCCTGATGACTTTGGTTACTGTACTCCTTTAGTTAGCAAAAGGAGTACAGTAGGTCTTCTGTTATTACATCTTATTAATACTGAATTTCACTTCAATGATTTCATAAATATAATTCCATTGCTTCTTATATTGAATGTGGATATTATTTCATGCAGTGTTGCTTGTCTCTTTGCAAAACATTTCTGGTCTTTGGTCATGCTCATTAACTCCTATTGTTGACATTAAATTGTCATGATGGGTGGCTAGGCCTTTCAATGAAATATTTTCAATACATCTATTACACTGTGCTGTGAGATATGTTAAAAATCTCAGTAACTGAATGTCTCATTCGTGCAGGTATTTAAACAAGCTTTTATGTGTAATTTTTCGAAAATAGTATACAATAAACACAAAATACTGAGTCTTGTGTGTTCAAAATCTCAGAATGACTATCATAACCTCAGAATATCATAATTTAAGGTTAGCCTTGGATGCCTTTCCTGATACATTGGTTTCCAAAAGTTATGCCCATGGCAGTAAAATCAAGAAAATGGAAAAGTGAAGCTTTGATAACACTAAATTGCACATTCAGGAAGCACATGCATAGAAGAAAACAAGCATGTGTAAAGATGAAAAAATTTTTTTCGTTAATTGTATAATATCACATTTGAGTCATTGGCAAATTGATGTTTAAAACTAAAAGCAGACAAACAAAACTTACACTAATAAGGTGTGTGACCATCTTGGATCTTACATAAGTTTTATAATGATTGTTCATGCTTTCCATTAAATGAATGACTGCAAACACTAGCAGCTCCATTCCTCCATCAGGACAGTTTCAAATGATGCGAGACTGACTGGAAGAAGTAAATATACAGAGATAGCACAATCGACGGCAGTAAAAATGTATTTACGGGTATCCCTTGGTAAAAATTGGCGATTTTTGGTGGTACATGGATACCGAGTTTGTGCAGTTCTTTGACTTGTTGTTTTGGCTTGTGTAGCGGTGATTTTTGTGCCAAAATCGCCGCTACACAAAGCCAAAATAACAGGATACACTCTATTAATGCACTTTCCCCCTTTCATACCAAATCATACAGAAACTTCAACTTAATCTTAATACATTCATCCATTGTACCATCTAAACAATGAAATAAGCAATGTACTTCCTAAGCAACACACACCACTAAAGCCCTTGATTCAAACATCCCATGATTCAAAATTCCTGGAATAATGCAAACAATTACATCATAATAAAGTTTCCATAACATTCAAGTACTCAGGTTACCATAAATGAAACAACAACTTGGCGATAAATGAAAAAACGTTGTGATAATACAAGGGGTACCCTAAAGTCAACTCTAACCCTATGAGTTTGCATACACAAGGTTTACTCGTATGATTATCAGAACCAGTGGCTTCCTGCAGTGTATTACAGAAAACATTATTTCTACCTGTTTCATCATGCACTGCATCTTTTGATGATTAGAGAAGGGTACCCCTTGTATTATCGCCAAGTTGTTGTTTCATTTATGGTAGCCTGAGTAGTTGAATGTCATGGAAACCCTATTATGACGTAATCAGTTGTATGATTCCGGTAAATTTGTAGAGCTTGTGGTGTTGTGTTCATTAAACCACAAAACAAGCATGTTGCTTGTTTTGTGGTATTTGGCTTATTATGTACTTGTTTTGTGGTTTAGATGGTAAAATGTCTGAATGTGGTAAGATTAATTTGAAGTTTTTGTACGATTTGGAAAGAAAGGGGAAAAGAGCATTACTTGACTGGTGTGTAAATAAAGGTTTACCTAGTAGCTGTTATTAAGTGTCCGGTTTGTAGAAAGGAATGTGTATGGTCGGATGATAACGGCACTATGTAGGATAATTTTTACTCTTATTTTGTGAATTTATGTGGTGATGCCAATATACAGATTGTAGTTCAGATAATTTTAGGAGGTTTTTGGATGCTGTTAAGGATTGTTTGAAGACATGTTAATTTGTAAACAAGGTAAGTGGATATTTCCTTTGTGTAGTGCAAAGATGAACTTCCTTTTTTATGTTATTTCATTGTTTGATTTAAAATGTAGTTTATTGAGATTATATATTTTTTTGTTGGCTGCTACTTTGACTTTTTAAGTGAATATAGTTCGATGTGTACATGGACAAAGTCAAGAGGGTGCATAATGCTTAGTTTGTGCAATTCTGTGATTTTTTTTAAGTGAAAATAGTAAAATGTGTAATTTTTTTTAAGTTAAAAAAAAGTGTCTATGGATAAAGGGAATGTGCAATGCAAAGTTTGTGCAATTCTCTGATTCTTTTTAAGTGAAAATATGTTGATGTGTATATGGATATCGAGTTTGTGCAATTCTTTGGCTTATTATTATGGCTTTGTGTAGTGGCACAAATCTTTGGCGCAAAAATTTCCGCTACACAAGCCAAAATAGCAAGTCGAAGAATTGCACAAACTCGGTATCCATGTACTGTCTTTATCATTAATATGTTTTTCTTAACAGTTCATATCTGATGAAATTATTGTTATTGTTATTCTTCAAACTGTTCTTGCTGTTTAAAATCCTTTTGATATTACTTACTCATTTCCTCTGGTAATAATTGTTGGTCTTGTGACAAAGTATTTAATTTTTTAGACCAAATTTCTCAATATACTTCATTTGGAAAGTATGATTTCTTAATAAATTTCTATATATAAAAATTTCATACTTTTGAGAACATTTACAAGATGCGGTTATAGAAAGCAGCACTGGTTTCTTAAAAAAAAAAGAATAAAAGAACTTAGTTCAGAGGAACATTTGAAAATACATTCATACGCTATAGTTCTATATAGCAGGGGTCTCAAACTGGTAGCTCATGAATACATTTAATTAATAAGCTTGTTTAAATACTGTGCTTATGAATTTTGATCTAACATAAAATTCATTGTGTTACGTCGAAAAAAAAAATATTTTTCATTTAACTTTTATCTCTTTACAAACTGACTGCTTGGTGCCGCGACAAAAAAAAAAAAAAAAAAAAAAAAAAAAAAAAAATCACGATTAATTGACAAAAACAAAATTCGAAAATGCACTTCCACAACAAAATCTTTAACACGCTATCTCTCACTAAATTAAAACTAATTTATATCTCCAACCTGAAAA